TTGTAGTGTTTTTACTGTATTAGCAAGTATTGTAAAATTGTTTGTTGTACAATAAAGTTAATTGTACTACCATTTGGTCATCCTTAGCCTTTATTTAACAATCCAGCGATACGAACCGGAGGATTTGGGAAATCCGGACGAGGGTTCAAGGATAATCGTAACAATACGTACACGCGACGCTTACGCTCTTTTAGCACCTGCTAACTCTCTGCCCATGCCTTGTGATAATGAACCAAGAGCTAGATGTGTTATAGGGAATTTACATGATTCAACTTTCACAGGCGATTAGTTGAACCAAAAGTTGAACGAAAGTAGGGAGCCGACCAACTTCATTGTAAGCGATTAGTTGAAAGGCTGTTTACACCAGGCGATTGTTGCTTTCAACTAAAAATCGCCTGAAAAATCGCCTCATGTAAATTCCCTATTAGGCTTTGTAATACTTACTCAAATTTAATTGATTTTGATCAGAATATCAATAAAACCGAATACTGCGTCACTACCCTTCAAGAAACCTGACTATGATTACGACTAGATTAGTAGGAAAACTAGGGGTCTTGCTTAAATTCGTAAAAGCCTCGTAAATCTCTTAAAACTCGTAAATTTACGAGCCTCGTAAAAAAAAGTCAAAATTTGTATGGAGCTTTATTTACGAGCCCCTCGTAAATTTACGAGGCACATTCGAGGCGCAAACGACCTCGTAAACATCAATGTTTTCGAGGGTCCGAAATTTTGATACCAAAATGTATGATAAAATAATGAAAATATATGAAAAAATAAATACGCGGATAAAATTATTGAATTTCATCCACTTACAGTATTGACTTAGGTTTTCTGCTAATTTTCGCCATTTATTTATTTATTTATTTATTTACAGTCTATGGAATTCAATTCTTACAGACTAATTAGACTATTAAAATAACTAATTAAATTGCATAAACACATTTAATTTAAACATATTTAAAAATTTAAAAGGAGTGAAATAGTCCGATCAGAGTGAAAACGGAAACGCTGCTGCTATCCAGGCGATATTTGGGCCTGTGCCAATCGGTAACTTTTTTCTCCGGGGTGAGACGGGGAGAAAAAATTTGCTATGGTGTACAAATAAATTGAAGTTTACAGTGCCAAATGCAGAGTAAAATTTTGAAAGCAAAAATTTTAAAGTGCGAAAGCTTTATTTTTGTGTGTTGCTGAAATTCTTAAAATTTATATTTATTTTATAATTTGCAAGTAACGTACGCTTTTTTATGCTGTTTCAGCTTTCATTTTCATGTTTACTCCTTATTACCGCCAAGCAATATTATGTGTATACATGGTTATAAGCTGTTAAAATTTTACCTAGCCCCATGAGCTAGGTAAAATTTTGACGTTCGTATTCACCACGAGAAGTGTCAAATTTTTACTTTGATCCGTCAAAATTTTCTATTTTGAGCCTGTGCCAATTGATAGAAAAGTTCTCTGGATAGTAAATTTTTGACAGCTATGAGGTGAATAAAAATGTTTGATACGGCAGGGCTAGTGAAAAATTTGACAGCAAGCATTATCAAGAAGAAGAACGAACAACGCACGTATACACATATGGGGTGTTCACAGTTCGTTCCAAATTGTGTCTGAAAATGTAGACGT